TTTTTTTTGGAGGGGGGGGGGGATTTTCCATGCAAATCATATGCGGTTAAAAAAGTAAAAAAAAAAAGAAGAAAAAGAAAGTGAAATAAATTATAGTAAACTAATTAATTGTTCAGTAAAAATTAGACGCCTTTCAAATTTTTCAGTGTTTATATATCAAAATATTTTTTCCTAGTATAAATTAACTTCGGGCACGATGAACTTGGTTGTTGTGGAAGTCTCGCGCCTTGTTAAGGTAACATACCGGTAATTGACCAATGAAAATGAACTTGGTCAATTGTAGTTCCATAAATATAAAATTATTATATTTTCCTTTTGAATTTTTTTTTTATTTCCTTCCAGTCTATTTTTACAATTTTGGTACCTGTGTCTAGTGCATTTTACATAATTTGTAAATAAATAAAGGTTTTTGACGGGAACTATTTTTTCCGGCATAGGAGGCTACTTCCTGGGGTAGAAGTTTATTTTTCTTTTACTCAGAAAACGGAAAACTTAGGATCCACCCCCTCAAATCTGCTGCCGTTAATTGTCTCGCCAGCATTAGGGGAATATGAATGATTGTATCGCTGTGGAAATATGGACGGGATTTCTTGGCATGGTAGACTATGAACCTGGTACGATTGCAAGTTCGGATTTACAAACTTACAAGACTGGATATTTGAACGCGATTATCCTCCATACTTTAGCACCCTTTTCTCGTGACGGCTGCCTTTTTACTTCTTTTGTTCAGAAGAGGATCGAGCGTGGGAGGGGAGTCTCCTTACATATATGTAGTACATGAAATAGTACCCTCCAAGGTAACACGGATCCCTTGTTAGATTTTAAGTTTATGCTATGGAGGTAATCGGCTAGTCCTTCAGAAGTTTCATTAACCCGTACCACCTTAATATCCGTTTTTGTTTGTTTTTGTTGTTTTGTTTTTGTGTATTTGTGGTGTTTTGTTTTGTCCTTATTTTGCAAATCTTTCCAGTAAAGAAACTAAAATATATATCGGTGTATTGCGATTTTGACAAACTAGAATGTTCCAAGGAACTCGTGTGTCGCCTGCTTTGTAGTTTCCTTAAAGACGTACATAAATCTTAAAGTGGTCAACTATATTTTGCTATTAGCATGATAGTTTATGCATTCACCTTCAAAGAAAAAATGGCATGGATTAGTATAAGACTGCAATAGAATCTGACAAGAAAATGTTCTCTAACCCTCAAATGAATAATTAAATAGAAATTAGTATCTATCATTTATTAATACGTGTTTCCGACAATGCTGCAATATTGTCAGTTTACATGATCCACGTGGAATACCAATCCCGATGTATTTTAGTAGTATTTAAATATATATAAGTTTATATGCTAAGCGAATACGATACAGTTTCAAAGCACTGTATCATAAGCTCAACGTGTTTTCAACAATCCTCCAAAGGAGATCAGTTTGTCTTTACTGCAATTGTCAGTCTACATGATCCATATGAATGGATTGTAATGCTGGTATTTTTCATAATGACAAACAATGCACAAGCTAAATAACATAGACTTACCTCTTAAATGTCAAAAATATCCCGTATATCGGCACTATGATCTATTTTTGAAAAGTTGGTTAAGGGTCACGAGGTCAGTAACCATGGTAATTTACAAAAGCCATAGTGCCAAGCAATATGTGTACAAAATATCAAATGACAAATCTCTTGCAGTTCTCGAGAGAAAGGGTGTGACAGATGGGCAGACAGTAAAGTGATCCCAAAGTGCCGCTCTGCTCTGCAGGCGACACAATAAGTAGCCCGTAGAGGGTGTGACAGACGGACAGACAGACCAGGTAAATTGATCCCTAAGTGCAGCTCTGCTCTGCAGGCGACACAAAAATGTCGTATTGTGATACTTTTCTTAAGTCCGAAAATACCACCAAAATGCTTGGACTTCTGATGTCTTAAAAAAGTTTTGAAATTTACGATGTCAGAAGTTAACGATTTCAATCGTCCTAAACAGTAAGGTTGCATTTCGTTGCAAACTGTAATCAAAACAACAAGAACGTTTTTGTAACAAAGTATTTATAATAGCTTTATACGCTCTGTTTATAAATAGAGGTTAATAAAACAAGATAAAAAAGATCATTTTAACTGTTTTCGAAAATATTACAATATATATATTAAAATACATTAAAAATATCGCAATATATCGCAATACGAAATTCCCAACCGATACCTAGCCCTATTGTTGAATTATCAAAACACCCGTATTGACCGAACACGTCGTGTGTTTATATGGTGATAATCTGATTGGCTATATATAGGAAACCTCTTTTAGATTGATTGTATGTTTTTTTACGTCTCGTTCGAGAATTTTTCCCTCATATAGAGATATCACCATATACCGGTCAAGGGCTTCAAATTTAGAACTTTAGTGGTTTTTATTATGATAAAATAAATTTTGACAGGGTCCCTGTATGCACAGGTTTGCGGGAGTTATCGTCCCTTGCGCAATGTCATGCGTAGTACAAATAAGTATTGGCGCCATTATTGCTAGCTGTTCAGCGAGCAGCTCCTTTTTCCTCCATGCAAGAGGGTCACCCATACGATCTTCGTCCAAGAGATCGGACAGTGCTTGAACTTATAAGATCGTGCGACGACTCGTCTGATGAAATGAGTGACAACGCAGAATTAGTGGCCTCCGGCGACTCGGCCACAACGGCAATTCAAACGACAGAGGAAGTGCGGGTCGCAACCACGCCACGCAGGGTTCAACACTAACCTTAGTCCGTTAGTCTCAGACTAACGAATTTTATGTCGGACTAATAAAATCTGCGCCTAGTCAGTCCGATCGGACTAATAAAAATTACAGCTTGTATGAAAAATTATTCACGTTCGATTCGCGACATTTTGCTGGAAAACCCCGAATGTATTTTTAGCTCTTTACGCATGGCGGGAGGTCATGTATGTCCTAGTCAATACGACGCTTATTTGTATAATTGATTTAAATTATGTAAAACGGTTCAGTGATCATGATTTAGTCTGACACATGCCGCCCGCAATGGAGAAACAGAAGAAGATGTCGGACTTTTTTAAAGCGGATACTGAGAGTGTTAAAAGGCGAAAGTTAGATATGTGTTGAGAAGAAAGAACGTGAGTCGCCGATCACGAGATTTCCAGGAATCTTGGACGAAAAATCGAGACTGGTTATATTTTGAAAAAAGCACAGGACTTATGTTCTGTACAATTTGTAAAGAACAGGCGAAAGGGGCTGTAGATAAAGCATGCTCTTTTGTCGCTGGATGTGCTAATCTTAGGTTAGAAACAATTAAATACCATGAAGAAAAATCATCCTTTCATAAAATAATGTGTTGAGATTCATAGAGCGAAATCTACGCCTAGAGGTGAGTCTGCTGCAGAAAAGATTGTAGAAAAACTAAATAAAAAAGCTGTCGATCGTTTAACAGTTTTATTTTGTAATGTCCATGCTCTGGTTCAACATAGGCGTCCATTCACTGATTATCCTTGGATACTTGAGCTTGACAAAAAGAAAGGGATAGATGTAGGAAATACTTATAACACAGACAAAGAGGCCCAGATATTTTCCTTCTTTATTGCACAAGAGGCTAGAAACAATATTAAAAAGTTACTGAACAAATGTCCATTCATATCTGTGATCACTGATGGAGCAACAGACAAGTCAGTTAAAGAACAAGAAATAGTGTATTGCAGATCGTCAAATGCTGGACTTGTTGACACATATTATATTGGAATAGGAGAGCCAGAACGTGCTGATGCGAATGGAATCATTAGTGTCATTGCATTGATACAGTTTTTGAATCTTTGGATATTAAAGACTACAAGGACAAACTGGTGGGCTTTGGGTCAGACGGCGCATCTGTCAACACAGGAAAGAAAAATGGAGTCATAGCTAAATTAAGAGAGAGTCAACCTTGCATCATTGGAGTACACTGTCATGCTCACCGCCTTGAGCTAGCATACAAAGATGCCATGCGTAAATACCCATCTCATAAAACGCTTGAAGAACTACTGGATGGACTCTATTTATTTTATCATAACAGCCCCCTAAATCGTTCAGATCTTGGGAGATCATGTGAAGTATTGGATGTGCCTAAAATTGTACCAAAAAGAATAGGTGGAACAAGATGGCTTTCTCATTGGCTGCTGGCATTAGAAAATTTGTGGAAGGCTTACCCAGGAATTGTCAGTCATTTGTAAACGGTAAAATTTATTGCTTTATACAAAAAATATAAAACAATGAACCTTTACAATTGATGTGAATTAAAAGTTATGACTCTTTGTTTTCAATTAATTATTTTCTGGTACTATACTTTTCAGCTGACACACACTTCCCAAGTTCCTAAGAGAACGACTGATGCTGTCGGGAAAGCTAATGGATATCTCAAAATGTTGTTGAATTTTGACATTTTGGTCTATGCACACTTCATGACAGATGTGATTAAAGTCCTTTCAACATTATCATTGTTCCTACAGCATGAAAAGGCTACAGTGTCAGAGGCTTACCTCAAAGTATTGGCAACAATGGCTGTGCTGGATCAATACAAAAACAAGTAAGAAAAGTGCCAATATTTAATTCAACAGTAAACCATTGATTTCATGATAATTTTTTTAAAACCAAGTTTCAATCAATTTCAATCAATTAATAAAAATAATTTGAATTTCGAGTCACTAAATTGCAGGGATGGTCCAATTTTAAAGAAATTTGTTCAACTTCTGGAATTAGACAAGGGCATGTTTCATGGATTTAAAATTAACCGTATTGAAAGATCCAGAGATAACACAGATTTGAAGTTTCCAAGAGAGGGGGCCATTGATCGCCTAGTTGACTGTTTAAATGGCAGATTCGATGAGCAGCAGTCCATGATTCTCAAAGCGACGAAGTTGGCAGACTTTTATGGGCTGGCCAAAACGATCAAATTATGCTGGTATAAATTTTTAGATTAAGTTATCATGTAATTAAATTCAGTATAAAGTTCAATCTCTTTTGAATAAAAATAAAAATAATCATAAAAAAGAATTTTAAAATATAGGTAGTAAAGAACTTGTGTTTGCAAGTCAGGTGTAAGATCTCTTTTGAAAACAATTCCTGTAGACTTTGGAGATGAAGATTTGGAAATCTTAGTGGACCATTTCTCACCAATATTGACTAAGGCGGGATTCAATGCTGATGAGATTTATACTGAATGGCAGATGCTGAAAAACATGATCTATAAAAGGTACGAAAATATTTTATGAAGGCCAAATACACAATACGAAAAAACTTCAAATTTGACGGGACAATCAGTAATAATACTGCAAGAATTTTGTAATTTCAGTGACTGTGATGTGTATCAGTTGTCCTGGGAGGAGGTGAATCATAAATACAAGGAAGGACATCAAAACTTCCTTGCTCTAGTGGACATAATTTTGTCCCTTCCCACTTCTTCTGCTGATGCTGAGAGGGGATTTAGCGAAATGAAAATGGTTAAGACAGACTGGAGATGTAGACTCCGTTCTGAGGTCTTAAATGATTTAATGCATATTCAGTTTAACACACAAGATGTGTTAAAGTTTAATCCTTTGCCTGCAATTCACCTATGGAACTCAAGTGCTGTCAGACCAAGGAGGCCGTTCTACAATAACACGGATGAGAACAATAATTACAGCTCTGATGAGGAAGATTTAACACCACTCTATTCTTTGGCCAAAAAAGTGGTTGACTAAATACAACGAGTGTCACTGTGGGATAACAAAAACTCACTGTTTGAAACATAAAATTCTAGTTTGATTAACATATGAAGTCAATACAAAAGTAATCTCTGTTGGAATTACTGTTCCTGTAATTAATTTTACAAATGTTAAACCTCATGAATTGACTTCTCTCAGATACTTTTGTTTAATTAATTAATCAAAAACTTCACTTAAATGTGTTGTGCATTTAAAACAAAAGAATCACTAAAATAAAAACATTGTACTACTTATAAATAATTTTTGTTTAATAATTTATTTCTCTATTTTTGGCGGACTAATAAAATTACCTGCGGACTAGTAAAAGTCACAAGTCACTAGTCCGGCTGGACTAATGCATAAAAAAGTTAGTGTCGAACCCTGCCACGGGTACATGCAGTCCCAAGACCCCCATCTATCTCTAGTGAAATAATCGTTTTAGAGAAGGAGCTGCAGACGTTAGAACTACACAAACGAAAGATGGAACTTCTTCAGAATATCGATGCTTGCAAACAAACTATAGCGGCCATGCAAGAGAAAGACAGCCCTGGCCCGAGTCCGAGTACAACTCGCGCACCTGCGACTGCTACTGGAGTTGAGACTACACCAAATGTACACCCCCTGCAAGGTACAGTTGACCTCAGTAATCTTATTAACTTGTTCCCTTCTCATGTTTCTACTGCTATTACACCAAGCACACCCAGTAATAAGGGGAAAGTAAGATTTGTTCACAACTACGTTTGGCTTGACCCCATTATGCAACAAGAGAAGGATGTTCTTCTTACACTTACCAATACTGGAGTGAAGATTAACAAAAAGCTTGATCGTGACTATTATAAACTGTCCATAGAACAGTGGGGCTATGGTAATGCTGCGATTATGCAGGAAATGATTATTAATCAGGAATTGGATGACCAGGGAGTGCGCGACTACCTTGAATACACCAAATACATAAATCGCTTATTCAGCAAGTACGCCAAAGGCAGTGTCCTTCTCTTCGACCGTGAATATAGGGAACTGCAGTTTAAGGAAAAGTTTCGATGGGGTGTATCTCGTCCTCACCTTCAGGATTTTCAACTGATTTTTAAACCGAACAGCCTGACTATGCAGACCCTACAAGGATCATTGGGAACACATGCTAAGAAGGAAGGTCCCTCCAAGCAGAATGGAAGTCGACGTGGCCCATTCACACCTGAAGGCAAGGAGATATGCAGGAAATTCAATATGGAAACGTGTGACTTTACTAACTGTAAATTGCAGCATTGTTGTTTTGTTTGTTATTCACAAACTCATAATGCTCTCTCTCACCCAAAAAACTAGGGAATGGGACGGGTCGCTGCTCTGAATCTTCTTCAGGGTTAAAGTACTCGGTTTGGGAATTTTATTTACAAGATGATTTTGATCGCAACTTCTTATGCAAGGGAATAAGAGGGCTTTAGAATTATTGATGAGGGAGCTGAGTAGTGCAGTCTGTAGAATACTAAAGAAAGTGTATGGTTATACTGCCATTGTTTATCTTGATGATTTTTTGATTTTTGGAAAAACTTTTCATGAATGTTCAAGAGCATTGTATACACTTATTTACCTACTTAGACAGCTAGGTTTCGCTATTAACTGGTCAAAGGTTGAAGGTCCCTCCCAGCAGCTTGTATTCCTGGGGGTGGTAGTAGATTCAGTGACTATGACTTTAGCCTTGCCAACATCAAAGCTTCAAGACTTTAACAACTTACTGGGAGCATTTTCTCGGAAAAAGCGTGCTAGTGTTAGACAGAAACACTAATTGGAAAGCTCAATTTGGCTTCTCAAGTGATATGTGGTGGCCGTACATTTCATCGTAGAGTGTTGGACTTGAAGAATGCAGTGACTGAGAGACATCATAAAGTGTTGCTCACAGATGATTTCTTTGCGGACCTCCAGTGGTGAATATCATTCATGTTGATATTCAATGGCATGTGTCGTATACAGGATCCACGGCCCATCACCTCACTCCAGACGGATGCTTCTTCAGAAGGAGGTGGAGGATACTACAATGGAGACTACTTCTACATTAATTGGCCATTAGACCTACCAGCTTGTGCAATGGCCCATATTAATGTTAAAGAGTTTATCTCTATATTTCTATCTGTGTTTAGGTGGAGTAAATACTTTGTGAATCGTAAAGTGATCATATATAGTGATAACTCTTCTGCCGTCTCTTGGATTAACAAAGGAACTTCCAGGAATCCCCTTGTACAGTTCATGTGCCGCATTCTCTTCTGGATATCTGCCCTGTATAATTGTGCTATCAGTGCTAAATACTTACCAGGCAAACAAAACAACGTCGGGGATGCATGTTCCCCTCTTCATGAGCCTGGACAACTTACAAAACTGTATTCGTTAGTGCCTTCCCTGCAACATGACCTATTTTTTTTTATCGACTTAGATCAGTCGCTTCCGTTATTCGAACACACGACCTTCCGGCCACGGAGTGAGCTACCGTGACAGTAACCTCTTATAGAGTAAGAACAGAAAAGCGTTGACGTTCGCTTCGTGATGGGGAGGCCCAGGTTCGATTCTCGTTCGCTGTGCCGTGTCAAACGTAAAACGTTTACATAGTTAATATTCTAACTGTTACTTCGCCAAGCACCCTGCACTAGAAATCAGGGGTTCTCTCGGTGAAACCCCAGAAACCGAGGTCACGGTAGGCGTTGGTACGCTAAACATTACTGCCCAACGGCCCTGGGCGCCGCGTTTAGGTTTTAACTTGAAGCCATTCATCGGTGTATGGTGACGACTTTATACGAGTTTTGGAAGAGGCGTCTTTACTCATCACTACCACGCACCTAGTGTCGCCTGCGTGGCGGAGTGGTTAGAGCGTCTGCTCTAGAGTCGCGGAGTGAGGAGTTGATCCTTACGTCGCGGGTTCGAATCCGACTGTGGGACGTGGAGACCGGTCCTTCGGATGAGACCGTATAAACTGGGGTCCCGTGTCGCAGTAGGTGCTGCCACGAAAAAGATCCGAGTATAGGACAAAATTTGCAGCTCTCCACCGGCAAGAGGTGGCGTCTCCATATGAGTGAAAAATTCTCGAGAGGGACGTTAAACAACATACAAACAAACAAACAAACAAATAAACCACGCACCTAGTTTATCTAAAAGGAAGAGAGAACATATGTGATCATTAAAGTCACGATCTTACATCAGAACTCCTGATCTGGGATCAAAAATATCACAATTTAGGAAAACTAAAGGCACTTTTTCTCAACATTACAACGCTCTTAGTTCATCTGCTATATATATAGGGGAGACAAGACATTTTCACAATATGATCAATAAGACAATATGATCATAAGAGACCCGCTCTTACGAGGGGTGATCAGCAAGTTCGCGAACTAATTGAATTACTTCTTTAAATGATCCAGGCAGTCACGTGACATGCTCCGAAGCAGTCTGTTCAGAGGAGGTAAAAGATTTTTCCGAGTCTTACATTTCTTACCATGCAAGTTATTTTTTATAACAAAAAAAGTCCATCTGTCAGAAATGGCCAAATCTCGGGAACAGGATGGGTGGATAAGGATATCCCTTCCCACAATTAGTATGGTGACCCATCACAACCCGAGTCCTCGTTTACCCAATGTGGATAAAGTATGGGCGTCTTTTTTTTATCATATCTCATATGTTTAAAGTCTAAAGTAAACGATATTTTAGAGATTTAATAATTATATTATTGTTAAGATATACAACCATTTTTCTTATTGTTACTTGACGATGTTTCATAACAAATTGCTCAACTAAGGACACATTTTTCGTTGGGCAACAGAACAAACATCATTTTTAACCGTCTCCCTGTCTTTACTTAAACAATCAATCCAATTAATGATTGAAATTCTGGCAAGTCTTTTGTCTTCATAAACCTTGTACAAATTATCATATTCTACTGCAAAGGAATTTCCAAGATATACGTTAAACTTTACAACCGTTCGTTGCTCGAGTACGACTGAGTCAACCATTTTTTGTCACAAGTGACCTACATATTGACGTCATTTTCACATTGTGACGCCACAAACACGGAGCAAAACATTATTTAACATATGCTATTTATAGAACATGTGTGCGACTATATGTGTGCCAAATTTCATTCTGATCTCAAGAGAGTTTTTTATATATAGGTATAGTTCGCGAACTTTTTGATCACCCCTCGTACTTTAAAACCCCTGACCCTGGGACCATGAATTTTACAATTTTGGTAGAGGGCTCAATGCTTGATGTCCAGGGGTAAAGAGGTTTTTATTTTTAAATTGCACTAATTTTGTTGGTTTTAGACTCTCCCCTCATGTTCCAGGGGAGCAGGGACCATGAAATTAGCATTTTTGTACCCCTTCACTCATTGATAGTACAGGCTAAAATAGGTCAAAATTCATTAAGCAGTTCAAGAGAAGAAGTTTGAAAGTTTACGATCGATGCACGTATATATATATATATATATATATATATACATACATGCATATATATATATATATATATATATATATATATATATATATATATATATATATATATATATACTCGTGGGAAGCAAGCAAAAAAACATACCACATACATTGTATATGATGATAGTATTGGGAAGTGGCGTTACGGAGGGAGAATGTACCTTGCTCCCCAACATACATTTGGGAGTAAAAAAAAAATCGGGAGATGCAGCTATCTCTGGGCCTTCGCCGACCACTCCCCCTTACCCTGGGATGAACGCGTATCTCATTTCTAAAGGTTTTACAGTAAAATTTGTTTAATCCGGACACTACTGATTCCATAAAAAAAGGCTGGATTAGACAACATTCCAGATTAGACAACATTTTAAACAAATGGACTTAAAGTTAACATCGTATTAAGCAAGATTTAGGATTACACATCCGGATTAGACAAGTTTTACTTGTATTATATAATATAGTTTAAAGGTAGGGGGTCAGATTTCTATGGGGGTCATTTTTCAACGTGTGTGGAGTCGTAGAATTACCGGC